CACGTTGTCAAATGCTTTTTGTGCGTCTAAAAGTATCAAAGCCATCTGCTTTTCAGGATGCGCTTCATAAAATTCTAAAGTATCCAATATTATTCTTATATTATCTCTAATTTGTCTTTTGGGTAGGAATCCATTTTGATCTGAATGTATAAAGTTATTCAAATATCTCTTAAGTCTTTCTGCCAGCATTGAAGGAAAAAGTTTGTAATCTGAATTTAGCAAGGATATAGGCCTATAGTTTTTGATTTGTTGTGAGTCCGTATCTTCTTTATGGCTCAATGTGATATAAGCCTCTGTCCATGATCTGGGTATTTCCTTTTTTGTCATTACTTCGTTCATAACTTCCAGTAATGGAAGATTTAAGGATTCTTGTAGCATCCTGTGATACTCAACCGGCAAACCATCTCGTCCTGGTGCCTTTTCATTCTTCTCCTTCTTTGTTTTTTTGTTTTTTTAGATTTTTTTATTAACAATAAACAAACATACATACATAAAAACAAACTATACATAAACAAACTGTACACTAAAATCAAGTCATGCAACTTCTTAATTCTTCTGCTTCTTAATTGCCTCTGTTAATTCCATCGTCATAATGCTCCTTTCCATCATCTCCTTGATATCCTTGGGAATCTGTGGTAGATTTGCTTTTTGTAAGTACCTTATCACTTTTTCCTCCTCTATTATCTCTTTTTTGTAAAGCTGTCTGTAATATTCTTGTATAATTTTCCCCATCTCTTTATTACCAAATTTACATTGTCCTTGGTCATCAAGTAATTGCATTATTTTCCTTGATTCTCTATCCTTTTTCAGTTTGTAAGCTAGCCATCTTCCAGGCTTATTCGCATTTTCAAAATAGTTCTGTTTGGTGATTCTTATTTTTTGAGCTAGATCTTCCTTTTCCAGCAGGTCTATTTTATGTTTTATTTTGTCAATTTTAATTTTAACATCTTTCTTATATGGATCTTTCTGGAATTCCTTTTCACATCTTTTATAATCGTCCGTTGCCTCTGAAGGCAAGCTGCTCTACTGGTTAATTGTCCTCACTGTTAGCAATTTTTTCCTTAATTTAATTTAATTTAATTTCCAATTTATATACCGCCCTTCTCCCTGAGGACTCAGGGCAGTGTACAGCCAAGATAAGAACATAGAACACAAATATTAAAAACAGTTAAAAAAATATACAAATTTGGCCCGAAAGTTAAGAAGTCACAAACTGATTAAAAGAATTTTAAAATTTCTTCTTAAGCCAGCCCGGCTTGCTGGAAAAGATGGGTTTTAAGGGCAGGATGGAAGGCATTGATGTCATAGATTCTCCTTATCTCAGGGGGCAACTGATTCCAGAGGGTAGGAGCCCCCACAGAGAAGGCCCTCCCCCTGGGGGTCACCAGCCTACATTGTTTGGCTGATGGCACCCTGAGGAGGCCCTCTCTGTGGGAGCGCACGGGTCGCTGGGGGTCGCCGGTAGCAGCAGGCGGTCTCGAAGATAGCTAGGCCCTATGCCATGGAGCGCTTTAAAGGTGGTAACCAACACCTTGAAGCGCTCCCAGAAGACCACCGGGAGCCAGTGCAGCTCGCGCAGGAGCGGTGTTACATGGGAGCGCCATGTTGCTCCCATCACTAGCCGCGCTGCTGCTTAATTCCAGGTTGCTTCTTTCCTTGATTAGTTTCCATCGATTCTTTCTTGTTCTGTTCTCTGGTGCTTTGGATAACAAGGTGACCCCCTCTTCTTTGAGGCAGCCCCTCAAATGGTGGAATACTGCTATCATGTCCCCCCTAGTCCTTCTTTTCTGTAGACTGGCCATTCCCAATTCTTGCAACCGTTCTTCATGTGTTTTTGCCTCCAGACCCTTGATCATCTTAGTTGCTGGGCTTTTTTTTTGCACTTTTTGGAAAGTTTCAACATCTCTTTTTGTAATGTGGTGACCAAAATTGGATGCAGTATTCCAGGTGTGGTCTTACTGAGGATTTATAAAGCAGTGCTAATATTTCATGCCATTTTGATTCTATGCCTCTGTTTATACAACCAAGGATTTTCCAACATCTCCCTGTCTATTATTGTCCTTTATGGTTTTAGTTCTGCTCTTATAACTTTTAACTCTTTTTAATAATTATTATATGAAAATTTTAAGTCACAACTGTCTCCTTTAAACACAGTTTTTAGTGGATTGTTGTATGTTGCAACATACAGGGTGTTTCTGAATAATCTGGGTAGTCATATAAATTTAATCAACCAATCATCAATTTCATGCCCTGTTGTGTGAATATAACTAAACTAGTTATTCCATCTAAACATTGTTATGATTGTTAGTGTTTAGCTGACTGCCACCATGTCCCATTCTATCTGAACCAGGGGTGAAATGCTCCCGGTTCAAACCGGATGGCCCGATCCAGTAGCGATGAAGGCGGGCGGTTCAGAGAACCGGTAGCAAAAATCCCTGTGCCCCCCCCACCATTGCCCAGCTGAGCCGCACAATCATCAGAGGCTTTTTTTTAACATTTAAAAGCATTTTTTCTACAACCTTTGGCCGAAAAAATGCTTTTAAAAGTAAAAAAAAAAAGCCTCTGATGATCGCGCAGCTCAGCTGGGATCATCAGAGGCTTTTAAAAGCATTTTTTCTACAACCTCTTTGGCCGAAAAAATGCTTTTAAAAGTAAAAAAAAAAAGCCTCTGATGATCGCGCAGCTCAGCTGGGATCATCAGAGGCTTTTAAAAGCATTTTTTCTACAACCTCTTTGGCCGAAAAAATGCTTTTAAAAGTAAAAAAAAAAAAAGCCTCTGATGATCACGCAGCTCAGCTGGGATCATCAGAGGCTTTTAAAAACATTTTTTCTACAACCTCTTCGGCCGAAGAGGTTATAGAAAAAATGTTTTTAAAGGGAAAAAAAGCCACTGCCGATCAGGAAAATCAGCTGGGATCGTCAGAGGCTTTAAAAGCATTTTTTTAACAACCTCTTCAGCCGAAGAGATTGTAGAAAAAATGGTTCTAAAAGTAAAAAAAAAAAAAAAAAGTTGGCCATGCCCACTCAGTCATATTACCCCCCCCCAACCAGGCCACGCCCACAGAACCGGTACAAACAGAACAAATTTTACATTTCACCACTGATCTGAATATATTATGACACAGGCCAAACTCCATCTGATGTGCAGGCGATCACTTTCTTGTAGGCCAAAAACTCAACTTCACCTTGACTTGAGAGTCCATCTGCTCTGTGGATTAACAACAAGAGACACAAACATGTTTTTCACTATCTGCTGTTCAAACAGCATCTATTGCTAAGAGAGTAGGATGATTGCTTCTCTGTGATTATCAGAGCAGTAATTCTTAAGGTGTCCCCTGTGGATTTCAACCCACAAAAAATCTTCCAAGGAAAAACCTGTTCTGGATTCTCCCTTAGCAGAAGACCTTTCCTTCTCTTTCAAAGAGCTATTGTCTTGGTTTGGTGAGACTTATCTGACCATGTCAGAGCCCAAACACAGATCAGAGAACACATGGTTGATATAACATTAGTTTAATGATAGATTAGTCTTGCGACTTTATCATTAAAATAAGATAAGATAAAATAAAATACAGCACATAGTCTAATTTCAGATTGAGAAGGTAAGAGGAAATAAAGTGATAAAATAAAATGCAAAGGGACATCAGATACATTTGCCCTGAGGCCATCCAGCTGGCAAGGCCATCTCAACTATGCAAATCTGATGAGATTTAAAGGGCTGCCTGCAATTCTGCTTAGGCACAAACTTTGATTTGTGATCTAGGAAGGAAGGTGAGAAGAATGACTGGGCTGCCACTTTTGCTGCTGCTGCTTCTCTTCTGGCTCCTGCCTCCAACTTCTGCGAAGAAGATGCAAGCCATATGTGTGCCACAAAAAGGTTTAAACTTTCAGAATACATGGGAACATTACAGAGCTGGTGATCTAATTATTGGGGGAAATTTACCCCTGGCAGCTCCTTCGCTCTTCGTTGACCCAGATTTTCAAAATGACCCACTCCTGCTTATTGATAAATTCTTGTAAGTTTCACCTGGAGGGGAAATATTTTTTTTCTTTTGACTTTTTTCTTTATTTTGGATTCAGGGACTTCTTTCAGAAATAATTGTTCTAGTGATGTCTTCAATGTCTTTGTGTAATTCAGATATTTGTCCCTTTCTCAATAAAGAACCAAACTCATGAAATGAGCCGAGGTGGCGCAGTGGTTAGGGTGCAATACTGCAGCTACTTCAGCTGACTGCTAGTTCAGCAGATCAGCGGATCAAATCTCACCGGCTCAAGGTTGACTCAGCCTTCCATCCTTCCGAGGTGGGTAAAATGAGGACCCAGATTGTTGGGGGCAATATGCTATTTAGTATACTGTCTTTGTGTAAGCTGCCCACAATCCTCGGAGAGTGGGCGGCATAGAAATAGGAATAATAAAAATAAAAATAAATAAATGGGCTAGAATTTTGAGTCTTTCCAGAAGATCTCATCAGGATGATTATAATGCATATAAAGGTGGGGAGGGCAGCACCTTAAAGACTCTGCTGGTTTAGTGAAGAAGTTGATTTATAATATTAATCTGGACACAATATCATGGTAAAGAAAAATCTCAATTCTCAACCCTTTTCCAAGGTGGGATACAGCCAAAATCCCTCAGTTTTGGAACCAGCATTTCTCATGAATTATATCTTCAGTAAATCTGTGCTATGACACCCACCCATTCCCTACTGGAGTCTTGTGGTCAGCAATGACCAAACCTGAAGAAGCTGCTCCAAGAATAACACAATCACTAAAGCAAAGGGAAGAAAGGGGGGGGGTGATAGAATTGTATAAAATTGTCCATGATATGGAGAGAGAGCTTTTTTCCTCTCTCACTAAGCTATAGAAATAATCAAGGAAAAAAGTGAGAAAAAACTCAATGAAACTTTTGCTGATGCAAACTAAACCAAAAATATGGTGATGCAAACTCTATCAGCAGACTCTAGCTACTTTTAATGTTACCCAATGTTTTGTTTTCACTGTAGTGCCATACAACCTAAGAACTTTGAGAAGTTCCTGGCCTTGATGTTTGCTGTTATAGAAGTCAACAAGGATCTGGTTTTCCTCCCCAACATCACTCTTGGCTTCCACATTTATGACAATCACAAGACTGAGAGGAATAGTTCCTTATTCAGCCTCTCCCTGCTCTCCACACGAGGCCAAATGATTCCAGGTTATAAATGTGACCAGCAGGACACCCTGGTCTCTGTCATTGCGGGTGACAACCCCAAGTCCTCAAGGCTGATGGCCTCCATCTTCAGCATCTTCAAGGTCCCACAGGTAAGGAGAATACAATAAGAAATGGACAAACAACAGAAAGACACACCGAAGCCAAAGTTGAACATGAAGTTCTGACAATATGACTTAGATAATCCTTCCTATAGTTGAATTTATTTTTTATATTTTATATATCGAGATACATTTTACATAACCACAAATAAATATTGATATACTTTTCAAAATCATAACTCTTAAAGTCACCATAAAGTGTTTGGAGACTACAGTTGGTCCAGAACGCAGCCGCGAGAGCTGTCGTGGGTGCACCTAGGTACACCCACATTACACCAATTCTCCGCAAGCTGCACTGGCTCCCTATTGGTCTCCGGTCACAATTCAAGGTGTTGGTTATTATCTTTAAAGCCCTACATGGCTCAGGGCCAGGTTATCTTCGAGACCGCCTTCTACCGCATAGCTCCCAGTGACTGGTAAGATCCCACAGAGTTGGCCTCCTCCAGGTCCCATCAGCTAAACAATGCCGGCTGGTGGGCCCACGGGGGAGGGCCTTCTCTGTGGCTGCCCCAGCTCTCTGGAACCAGTTACCTCCTGAGATCCACCCTATTGGCCTTCCAAAAAGTGGTGAAGACCTGGCTTTTCCGGCAGGCCTGGGGCCATTGATCTCGCTCTTGCGATCTGGCGAGATCCAGCCATGAATGGTATGAATGAGTTTTAATGTTTTTAATGTTTTTAACTTTTAAATGTTTTTAATTAGGATTTTAAATGTATTGTGAGCCGCCCTGAGTCTTTGGGGAGGGTCGGTATATAAATTAAATTAAATTGAAATTGAAACTGAAATAAAACTTAACTTTGTTTTTGAAAGAAGATTCTCACTTTCTCTAGCTTGGTGTTGGCTTTGAGTTCACTGAAGGAGACAGAAGAGTTTATCCTTCCTTCTTCCGGATCAATCCCAGTGAATTTGCTCAGTATGTGGGTTTAGTCCAGCTGCTCCTGTATTTCCAATGGAACTGGGTTGGGCTGGTGGCCCCTGAAGATGACAATGGAGAACATTTGATCTCAGCTGTGATGCCAATGCTCAAGGAGAAGGAGATCTGCCTGGCCTTCACTATAATGTTGAAAGTTGATTTTTCTGATATTCCAATGTCGAAATTAGTTTATATTTTCGACACTTGGTCTAAAGGTGAAGTGATTATTCTGTTTGGAGATATCAGTACTACTTCAAATGTACAAACGATTCTGTTTGTATATGAAAAATGGAGAAAAAAATCACTTCTGAACGTTTGGATCTTTACATCCAGTTGGAAGCTTAATGTGCTGAACTCTCGATATATATTGAAATCTATAAAGTCCTTCCATGGGGCTTTGCATTTCAGGGACCATACAAGGGAAGTCTCAGAATTCAGCCATTTTCTCATGTCTTTAGACCCTTTGAACCCACGAGGGGATTTCCTTCTCCCTCTGTGGTGGGAATATGTCTTTCACTGCAAGATCCACAAGCCAGGCAAGATGCCTCCAATGGGGAGAAAACCATGTACAGGAAAAGAGAATTTACAGAATCTGCCATCTTACATGTTTGAACCAAGCATGACAGGTGAAAGTTACAATATCTACAATGCCATTTATGCTGTAGCACACACTTTACATGCAATGCATGGATCTAGAGGGCGAGCAGCCATGCTAAGACTTGGAAAGAGGTTATCAAATGTCCAGTCATGGCAGGTAATCTCTGTGATTTTTTTTTTTTAAATCTATTCCTCAGATCTTTAGAGACAAAGCTCTTGATGTGTATTGTTTGAAAGAAGTACCTGCATGGCATCCTATCACTGCATCAAATCTGCATCAAACCAGATTAAAATGGTAATTTTTTTAAAAAATGATCAAACAAATTAAGTATAATATTTTGTTGAAAATGGGTCAGGGGGGGTTGGGTGGGGAGAGAAATAAACCAAACCAGTTGTCCATAAGATTTGTATAGAAAACATCTTCTTCCAAAGTCTTCAAATGTTGTCTGAGTTTTATAAAGAGGTCATCCATGGGAGGTAGCATCATTCCAGAGACAAATTCCTTGTGTGTCCAATCACACTCGGCCAATAAAGAATTCTGTCTGTCTGTCTGTCTGTCTGTCTGTCTGTCTGTCCGTCCGTCCCTCCGTCCATCCATCCATCCATCCATCCATCCATCCATCCATCCATCCCTATCTATCTATCTATCTATCTATCTATCTATCTATCTATCTATCTATCTATTCCAGATCAACAGAGAACATAAAGCAAGGTGGCAATTCTGCCAGAAGCTTCAACCTTCCTAGTGGGCATATTTCCACATTCCTAGCTTTGGGTGCTGCATTTTGATTCCATAACAATACCTAAACAAGTTACAAATTACCCATTCATTCTGTATTCTTTTAACTGCCCACCTTTTTTAGCCCTGAAGAAAGCATAACCGCCATTCTTTGCTAGCCTTCGCTTTTAAGGATTCAGAATTCTGGTCCATTTGACAGGACCTGACCTCCTTTTATCATACACTTAGCCATATATTGTCCTCTCCCTTCCAGCCTTGATTCTTCAGTAGCCTTTTAATGTTCCATTTGGTTGAGTTCCTCCTCTGTCACACAGTTCTTGGGAGGAAACAATTCCTTGTGACCAGAGGGCTGTAGCTGGTTTGCATTTTAGGAAGACTTGTATGGCTTAAGGCTCTGATACTCCTTACTTACTTAGCTGTGGTAAATTCAGTGTCCACTTGCTCACTCCACCAAACACCTCCTTCTTCTTTTAGTTCTCCACCACAATGTCCTTTCCCTCTTCCACCAGTCCCCTGTGTCTTTCGGGTAGGGTTTTCTTTTTGTAGTTTTGCAGGTATCTAGTCTCATGAAATAGGAAGATTAGGGCTGATGTGATAGCAATCTTCCAACATTTGAGGTGCTGTCGCAGAGAAGAGGGGCTCGACCTCTATTCCAAAGCATCTCAAGTAAAAGAGATGCTTATCAAAGAGAGATCCAAGCTAGAATTAAGGGGGTGGGGCAGAATTCATGACAGTTAGAATAGTTAGAAACAGATAAAACTGACAGCAGTGATCCATTGAATCTGCCCTTTGAGTTTATTCACTTTTTGTTTCTTTTTAATTTTATTTAGTTGTTTAATTATTTAATTGTTCTTTAGTTATTATTTTTATTATTGATTTACTTCTATTTATTTTTTTTTCGGATGAAGGACATCTTTATCCCAAGCCTACTTAAAATCAGTTACTGATGATTGACTGACTATCTCTGTTGGAAGTTGGTCCGAGCTTCCACTACTGTTTCTGTGAAGTAATTCTTTGATATTTTTGTAGGTAGACATCATTCTCATGAAATGGTGGTGAAGAAGTCATGATACGAAATGCCCAATGTGAAAAAGAAAAGTTTGAAGTTTTGGGGAAGGACTTAAAAATTGGGTGTTATTCCTGACTGCTGAGATCTCCACCAAGGAACCCCTTTTAGATTCTCAGATATATACAGACCTCCTAAGATGATGGCCATCACAAAATGATAGAAGCCATAATGTCTCATTTGTGTCTTTCAACCAATTATTCCAATTTCTGAACGTCTCTGTCAGACCTGAAGCCATTTTGGAAATCTTCAGGGCTGCCACAGTAAGATCTGTTGCAGCTGTGGGAACTTAAGGGGGGAGGGAGATAGAGATAACTGGGGCTTTGATTTGGGTAGGGAAAACCTCGGGTCCTTCAGAGTCAGCTTCTTCCTAATAAATTCTTACTTTGAGGAAACTCCAGGCCTCGGAGTTTTGATTTCGTTGGGTCTGTTACTTGGAATCCTGACAGTCTCTTTTCCCTCAGCTTCTTCCCTGTTTGAGGAATGTCCACTTCAACAACAGTGCTGGAGATGAAATCTCCTTCTCAGAAAATGGACTCGGGTCTGCACGTTATGATCTTCTCAACTGGATTTTCTTCCCCAATTTATCTTTTGTCCCTGTGAAAGTTGGGCACATTGATCCTGAGGCTCCCCCAGGCCAAGATTTCACCATCAACTCTAGTTCAATTGTCTGGACAAGAAAGGTGAGCTGGAAGTTTAAATAAATTCAGTAAAAGACAAATTCTCTTCTAGGGATTCAAGATATTCTCCTTACTGTAAAACAGGTGACCGAATCAAAGCTTCAGCAAGTATTTGATGAAAAACTTGTTTTTCATGTAACATATTTGAAGTCTGGTTTGTGACAGATGAAAAAGGGTGGATATCAGGAAGAAATTCTGGTTGAAACCCAGGATGCAGATGGAGCAGCCAAGAATGGTTTACATGGACCATTCCCATTCAGTTGGATCTCCATCACTGCTTGCTTCAAAAAAGCTGTAGCTCAATTCACAAGGCTTCTTTAAAAAGAAAAAAAAGTTTTATTAAATTTTTCTTTTACATACATATTTTATGAACAGAGTATTGACTGGCTCACATCTTATACAACTTATAACATAGTTATATATTGATATCTATTCCAATCTTCTTTTTTGTTTTTACGTATTTCAATTTCTGCCGTAATATTCTTTTTCCCTACTTATTTATCTTATCTTAATCTCTTTTTAATGCATAATATATAAACATTATTATCTATATAGTCTCTTTTTTATTTCCAGATAATATCCATTTCAAATGTTGGTCCAATCCACTCCAATTTAAAGCTTTGTTGCATTTCACCTCCTATAAAAGTCAAGACCAAGCAGTTTAAAATGTAACAAATACTTCTTAAAGTTTCTCATAGTTCTTTCAGTGATCAAGGTCACTGCTGTTATTTCCTTCAATTTTCAGGCCTGTCGTTGTAGTACTTTCTTTCCACCAGCAGATGTCTCTCTCCAATCCACAATTCTCAGAACAACAAAGTATCAAGCTTGCAAAAGTATTTTTAATCCACATAGAAAATACTTTCTCTCAAATTTCTTTTCCTTTTATTGTTTTTAATTTCTCCCAATTCAGTTTTAAATCCAGTTGTAAAAATTTCCTTTCTTGGGCTTTAATATTTTGATCTCCTCTTTGTTCTTCCTTCAATTATCAAAACTATCAAAAATATTTCAAATCCTCATTAAAAAGCACTTTTCCTCAGGTTTCTTTTTCTTGTATTGATTTTAATTTCTCCAAATCCAATTTTAAATCCAAATATAAAGTTTTCTTTTTTGGGCTTTAGTACTTTAACTTTGTTCTTCTCCCTCCATTAAAATTCCCAACTGTCAATTAGCTGCTCATTTCCTCCCAGGGACATGGAAGAAAAAGATTAAAAAACTTTAAAAAAAAACTTCAAAAGTTTTTTTTTAATTTCCTTTTTTTACCTGTGAGTTGGCCAATGAGCCCTGGTAGCACAGCAGACTAAAGCACTCTTATTAACATCAGCTGCCTGCAATTACTGCAGGTTCGAATCTCACCAGGCTCAAGGTTGACTCAGCCTTCCATCCTTTCTAAGGTAGGTAAAATGAGGACCCGGATTGTGGGGGCAATAAACTGACTTTGAATAAATATACAAAAGTATGAAGGCTATTGCTTAACGCATTGTTAGCCACCCTGAGTCCCTGGAGAAGGACGGCATATAAATCAATTTTTTTAAAAAAAAATCACTCACCTGGTACCAGTACTCCATTCAAACACCACTCCTGCACAAAATCTTATTCCGGTTACCCCAGGTTCAAAGCGGTCATTTTTAATAGCTGCCACCCATACCGCTGGTTTGAAGAGCTGCCTCCAAACTTCCGAGGAACTTGCCTGTTCCTTTTGGTCATCCGAGGCGCCTCTCCTTCACTGTCCCTACAGGACAGTTCTGGTCCGAAGGACAACAGTTTGTCTGGCTGTATTTTTGTAGGGCTCACTAGAGCCCACTATTTTCCAGCCAGTCTTGCCGCGATGCTTCCGATTTCTCTCACAAGCCTTCTTTTGAATGTCAAGCCCCAGTTCCAATCTCTAGAATCCATTGGTGGTTTAGAGTGGCACTAGCCTTAATCCCCCAGGAGCTTTTCCTGGTTTCTGTTAACCATTGCTTTTAAAGACATTCTGACAATGGAAGCAGAAATATACAAATGAGTAAATGAAGCATATTAATTGCAGAGGCCTTTTTAAGCATTTCTCTTTTCTCTTTTAGAAGGTGCCCTTTGCCAGGTGTGGCATGAAGAGGTGCCAGGCAGGAGAGAGGAGAAACGTTCCAGAAGGAAAGCTGGTTTGCTGCTACCAATGTGACCCTTGTCCAGAAGAGACCATTTCTAACCAGACAGGTAGAGCACATTTTAATTGTAGATCTTCCAGGATCAAGGAAACCATTCAATAGAAACAAACTTTGTTGTCATTTTGTATCACTTTGTATCAGGTTAATCTATCCTCAGGATAATCAATATTGAAGGATGATTTGTCCTTTTTGATAGACCATCAAATACGAAATGTCTCTTGATTTCAGATGCAGCTTCCTGTGATCCCTGCCCAAAAGACCAATATCCCAACATGGACAAGGACCAATGCATTGCCAAGAAGATCCATTTCCTTGCCTATCAAGAACCTCTGGGATATGTTTTAGCTTCACTCCAACTTTCTCTCTCCATGATCACGATGGCAGTTCTGGCAATTTTCCTTAAACATCATGATACACCGATTGTCAAGGCCAACAATCGAGACCTCTCCTACATCCTCCTGGTCTCCCTCCTGCTCTGCTTCCTCTGCTCCTTCCTCTTCATTGGTCAACCTGGGAAGCTCACCTGTCTCTTCCGACAAACCGCTTTTGCTGTTCTCTTTTCCCTTGCAGTGTCCTCTGTCTTGGCAAAAACAGTCATGGTGGTTCTGGCCTTCATGGCTACCAAACCAGGAAACCAAACAAGGAAACTCTTAGGAAAACCACTGACCTACTCCATTATCTTAGGCTGTCCCCTGGTCCAAGCACTTCTTTGTGCCACCTGGTTGGTCACCTCTCCCCCATTTCTCAACTTGGATTTCCATTCATTGTTTGGACAAACCATTTTGGAATGTAAGGAAGGCTCAGCTTTAATGTTTTACATTGTCCTTGCCTACCTAGGATTTTTGGCCCTTGTCAGTTTCACAGTGGCATTTCTAGCTAGGAAATTGCCTGATAGTTTTAATGAAGCCAAGTTCATTACTTTTAGCATGCTGGTCTTTTGCAGTGTTTGGATCAGCTTCCTCCCCACCTACCTGAGCACCAAAGGGAAGTCCATGGTGGCTGTGGAGATCTTCTCCATCTTGGCCTCTGGTGCTGGTCTCTTGGCTTGTATCTTTTTTCCCAAATGCTACATTATCCTACTTAGGCCCCATCTGAATTGTAGGGAAAACATAATGAGGCATAAGAATGTCTGAAATGCAAGGATTGGAACCTTTTGTTTCTGACTTTTGGGCATTTTTGTATTTTATCTGATTTCTTAAAAATTATTGGTAATAAAATATATAGCTGGTAGCAACATATCAGTCATCAGTCATCAGTCATCAATAATGTCTTACCATTTTATTTTTCCTTTACTCCTGTTTTCCCAATGAGGCCCCTTTGATCTTGAAAAATAAACCTTGATTTGAAAGATGTGTTTTAGTTTACAGCAGGAGAGTTCCCCACTATTTATTTTTTATCAAAAGGGTCTTTAGAAATGTCTTGGGTTGGACTCACTATTAGCCTTTTTAAGGAGATTTGTTTCCCTAAGCACCTGAGGCTTTGCTGAGTTCCAATTATGAAGGAGGAAAGATGGGCAGAGGATGGGAGGAAGGAAGGAAGGAAGGAAGGAAGGAAGGAAGGAAGGAAGGAAGGAAGGAAGGGTGAAAATTAATGGATTACATGATGACTTGTTCATTGTTAAATAGAGTGGATGATTTTCTCTTGTTTAATGAATTTACAACAGCAGATGCTTAAAACTGGTTATTTGGTTAGCCAAATTTCTGGGTATTTTGATATATAGAGACTGTGATACGTTGTCTAAGGACACAAATCATTTGCAACAAATGTTCCATAGATTATAGATACCTACTGATTGTGAATATGTATTTGAAAAATAATACATCAAACACCAAGATAGTTGTGATTGACATTGAAATGGAGTGAAGAAATTAAAATAAGTGCTTGTCAGAGAACCCCAGAACCTCTTTCTTTTTCCAAATGATCATCTGGATCAATTCACACCTTAACAACAGGTATACGAACACTTATAAGGTGTGCAAGTGGATATAAAAACATGGCAGATAATCTGTTGTATGCCTTGATGAAAAATCAAAGATGAGACTGAGACTGAGGAAGTGAGGTTGGAAGGAGCCAATGAGAATCTCTCAAACGAATCTGATAAAAAGAGAACTATTATGTGGTGTGCATGTTTTTTGGAAGCAATGGAGGTCTGCAAAGAGGGGAAAGTATGGAGAGTTATAGGGGATGATGTTGCCATTTGGATCCATTAGGCAGGTGTATTCCTCAAAGTATAGATTTAGTAGGCATGTTGTATAGGCATATCTGGGGAAAACCCAAATCTGAAAGTTCCGGATGAATGGGAAATGATTTGGAATAAAAACTATATGTTAACAAAATTGGCAGTCTATAAAGAAAATCAATATAAAATGCTCTATTGTTGGCATCTAGTGCCAGCAAGACTGGCTAAAATATACCCAAACCTAAGCCCCAAATGCTGGAAATGCAATTATCATCAAGGTACCTTCTTTCACGCCTGGTGGACATGTCCCGAAGTGAGGAAGTATTGGATCAAAATACAACATTGGTTACAAGACCTAACAAACTGCAAAACTGAGTTAATTCCGGATACATTTTTCCTGGATATACTAAAAACCAAATATTCCAAAGAAATAAGATACTTGATTTTACATATACTTACCGCAACAAGAATCACATTTGCACAATATTGGAAAGAACATAATTTACCACCAGAGGGACTGATTAGTCAAAAAGTATTTGAATGTGCCGAAATGAACAAATTAACGTTAGAATTAAGAGAAAAAGACAATTCAGAATACTGTGCGATGTGGGGAAAATGGTATAGGTGGACAGATAAAAGAAACAAAAATAAGTAATATTTATATGAAAGTTGAAGAGGTATTTACATGTATTGTATACAATGTGCTGATTATATGAACTGTTAATCCAGTTTCTATAATTAATGACACTGTCTGTTTGAACATGTATTAGTGTTTGGGAAAAGGAAAATTTACAATAAAAAACAATAAAATAATTTGTGTGTCATGATAGAGTATACAGTAAGGATGGAGAAAAAGAGTTGAACGATTATAAGGTGTGCAAATGGATATAAAAATATGGTGCATAATCTGTTGTGAGTGTTGATGAAAAATCAAACATGGCTAAGGGGAGACCAAGGAAGTCAAGGTTGGAAGCAGCCAATGAGAATCTCTCAAACGAATCTGATAAAAAGAGAACTATTATGTGGTGTGTGTGTGTTTTGGAAGCAACAGGGGTCTTTAAGGACTCTTGATTTCAGATGGAGCCCACTGTGATCCCTGTGCTTATGTGCGTGGGGGTAGGGCACATTGAATTATGGGTGTGGGCATGTACATGTGCGACCCTCCCACGCTCCTCCTGCTTTTGGCATGTGACAGCAAAAAGGTTGGCCATCACTGCCATATATATTAAAAAATAGGCAGAATGATCACTGAAAACTGTCACTGATAAGAAAACCTGCTGGACTAGATGGGGTATTAAGCAGTCAGTCAGAATAGAGCTGGAAGGGAGCTTGGAGGTCTTCTAGTCCAACCCCCTACTCAAGCAATTTGAGGCAAGTGGCTGTCCAGTCTCTTCTTAAAAACCTCCAGTGATGAAGCACCTTACAACTTCTCAAAACTCCAGATTCCCTGAAAGAGGATCGGTTGGTTGATTTAAAAATATCTTTGAGGGATATTAGGCATCAAAAAATGAGGTGACAGTTTGCACTCAGGTCCATCTTTTGAATGATAAAAGACCCAGCACGATAAAAATGCAAAAAGAATTTGACAACCTTTTGAAGTCGGTTCACTTCGATTGCATCCTGACATAAAAGGAGAGGGGAGGGAGGAGTGTAAGGGGATATTGGGGGGTGGAGGGTTGGTGGTGACAGGAGGCACCAGAAATGCCAGCATGAAACAAGGCCTGGCAGATCCAAGGACCCCAAGCATGAGAACAGAATGTGAATTAATCAAGGGGAGAAGCAACCTGGAATTAAGGAGAACCTTCCTAAGAGTGAGGACAATTAACCAGTGGAACTGCTTTCCTTCAGAAGTTGTGGGTGCTTCATCATGGGAGGTTTTTAAGAAGAGACTGGACAGTCACCTGTCTGAAATGGTATAGGGTTTCTTGCTTGAGCAGGGGGTTGGACTAGAAGACCTCCAAGGTCCCTTCCAGATCTTTTATTCTGTTAGTTAAGCAGCTCCCATCCTATTCTCTTCCAACAGCACTCCTCCAACAGTTGTAGAACTCAGCAGCAGTAGCCTTACATTAATTTATTCTTTACCTTACTTAATTTGATTACTAAACTCTTGTCAGTTTGGCACCGAAGGAAGTTTCCTCACTTCCTTTCCTGCATTTGCTCATTGCACAAAGTAATGGATCGTTTCTTGGATAATAGCACAAGCTCAACATTAGGTCTCAGCTCCAGGGCATTTTTGGATATACGGTTTGTTTCCAGAGTTTCCTCACCCATCTGCTTCCTGTGGTTTTTGAGCAAAGAGGCCACGTTATTAAACGCCGATTTTCTCTCCTTGCAAGAACTGCTAATTTCATCATTTTCAGCCGGACCGATCTGCAAATATTGAGCCTCCCTGTAGACCTGCAGACTTTTGCAAATGGTCCTGTCTCTTAAAGTTGTCGATTCCTTTTACAGCCAATCCTTGATTTGCAACAGTTTATTTAGTGACAGTTACATAACATAACATAACATAACATAACATAACATAACATAACATAACATAACATAACATAACATAACATAACATAACATAACGGTAACAGAGTTGGAAGGGACCCTGGAGGTCATCTAGTCCAACCCCCTGCTCACACAAAGTTAGACTATTGAATATAGAATAACAGAGTGGGAAGGGATCTTGGAGGTCTTCTAGTCCAACCCCTTGCTTAGGGAGGAAACCCTACACCACTTCAGGCAAATGGTTATCCAATCTCTTCTTAAAAACTTCCAGTGTTGGAGCATTCACAACTTCTGGAGGCAAGTTGTTCCACTGATTAATTGTTTTAACTGTCAGGAAATTTCTCCTTAGTTCTAGGTTGCTTCTCTCCTTGATTAGTTTCCACCCATTGCTTCTTGTCCTGCCCTCTGGTGCTTTGGAGAATAGCTTGACTCCCTCTTCTTTGGGGCAGCCCCTGAGATAGTAGTTTTGGAAGTTTTTAAGAAGAGGTTGGACAACCATTTGCCTGAAGTGGTGTAGGGTTTCCTGCCTAAGCAGGGGGTTGGACTAGAAGACCTCCAAGGTCCCTTCCAACTCTGTTATTCTATTTCTATTTCTAAATCGGTAACCCATTTTAAACCTTACTGAATTGAGCAGATTATTCCCAAAGTCAAAGTGTTTTCATTTATAAAGAGCAGAGTTAGATATATTATGGCAAATAGGTAAATAAACAAACAAATCATTAAAGTGCAGCTGGGGCTGAATAAGCCAAATGCTATCAATCACGAAAAAAGAACCTTACTCTCTATATTAAAGAATGGCTTTTGAAAAAAACTTTTTAAAAATATTGAAATTCAACCAATGGCTATGGCAATGCTGTATGCTCTACTTTGCAGGAGATTTGCATGATACTTTATTTTATTTTATTTATTTATTTATTTGATCAAATTTGTATACCGCCCTACTCCCGAAGGACTCAGGGCGGTGAACAGGCAAAAAATAAAACACATAGATACAAAAGTTAAGAGCAGAATTAAAACCAAATTAAATATTTGAGCCCAAGACAATTTAAAACATCCCAAAAATTTAGAACAAATTTAAATTTTCAATTTAAATTTAAAAATTAAAAAAAATTAAAAGGGGGGGAAAGGTCAGGCCAGGCCTGCCTGGTGGAATAAAAAGGTCTTAAGAGCACGGCGGAAAGAGCGCAGATCCGGGATCCTCCGTATCTCCGCGGGGAGCTCGTTCCAGATAGAACTTTTAGAATTTTTAAAGCTAGAAATATCTCAATCCTTGATGTTAAGACAAGACTTGGAATACTGCATATGGTTTTGGTCACAACGATGTAGAAAAAGATGTTGACACTCTGGAAAGAGTGCAGAGAAGAGCAACAAAGATGATTAGGGGACTGGAGGCTAAAACATATGAAGAAGGGTTGCTGGAATTGGGTATGAAAAAAAAGGACTCAGGTGACATGATAGCAG